GGGGGGGCTGACTGGGGGTTGGCCGCTGTCGTCCTCGTCCTCGACCTCGACCTCGACGATGCCTCGGGTGAAGGTAAAGTCGTCCCGCTCGTGCTCGACACGCTCATCCCCGTAATCGAGCGGTGTCGGGAGGCCCGGCTGTTCCGTCCATGCCTGACTGTCGCCCTCGTAGTTCTCGACCCTGCCCCTTTCGACCTTGTCGGCGACGGTGTCGAGTTTTTTCATCTTTTCCTTGAGCTTATTCCCATCGGAAAAAACGGCATAAACGAGCTTTACGAAGGTTTCCAGACTGGGACACTTAGTAGCTTTGCATACCGCCTTAACAGTCTGCTTGAACAAGTTCTCGATCCCGTCGCAATGCAACCCTGTTGAGCGAAGCGCCTTGCCGTATTTTTCGACGCGCTTTTTATACCTTTTAGCAAGGAGGTCCTCGAGCTCGGCGCGGGTTTCTGCCTTTCGGGCAGCGGCGGCGGCATTGGTAAAGTACGAGTTTGCGTGTTGGAAAGGCACGGTGACGGTGTTGAACCGCTTCCAGAGGGTGCCCCAGAGCTTGCCGGGGTGGTTGAAGGTCCTAGGCACGCCTTTGAGCTACGCCATTTCCTTGTCGTCGGTCCAGAACGGCGGTCCAAAGGGCATCATGGGGTGGTCGCCGTCCATTTTTTCCGCGTCGTTTGTTGGCTCAAGTCGCGAGGGGCTCGAGTTTGGGATTGCACTCTTTGTTAACGATTAAGGACCGCGTTTGGCGCTGTATTAATCGCTTTTGGCAGTCGGGGGTCGACGGCAATACAACGGTAGCTTTTAACTAAACGGTTAGATTTTTCGGGGTTTAGCTAAACGCTTGCTTTAACTTTAAAAAATATATTAAAAAAGCGAAACGCAAGCAAAAAAACAATAACTAGCCCTTGCCCAATTTATTTTGTTAACGTAAAGCAATACGCTTGCGAAAAAAAAGTTTTTTATAACGTAATTTGCCGTACGGTTTTAAAATACGGCGCAATAATTTTTTACTTTATTTGTTAAACCCAACGGGACTGGCCCGTGGGTTGAGCAGGCCCGGCACTGCTGGCATCCCCGTCAAAACCGATTAAGTCCGACCCGGAGCTTACCCCGCTACCTGGCCAGTGTTCAATAAGGGCTGGAATGCGCTTTAAGTGCACTAAACCTAAATGCTTCGGGGCTAAACGCCGATCAAATTCCAAGCGCATTTAGGTTGCACCCAAAACGCATTCCAAGCGCACTTAACGCGCACCCAAAACGCACTTTAAACGCATTTAGCGCAAAGGACGGAATGCGCTTGGATTAGCTACGCTATAAAGCCGAAGGCCCGGGAGTAAAGCCAGTGTATTATAAATTCCCTATATAGATTTGCTACCCTCCCTATTAACCGGTTGATAAGAAGGGCATCAAGATATACGTGTGTAAGGGGGACGTGCCAGAGTACCGCTCCACTACATAGACCAAAAGATGCAACAGTTCAATCACTTCGTGATTGAACCCTCTGGCACCACAGTATATCAGGCCCCGAAGCCCCTGTAACCAACGCTCCAGGCAACCCCGTTACAACGTGTTTTACTAAATACGTACCTTGTTCACCAGATTGTGTTTACCACGCCAGTTTAGGCTGTGCTTACCAAGCCAGCTTTGCTTATTACATAAGCTTAACAAAAAGGAAAAAACGACGAGTAAGTATAAAAATTACACGGAACCGTTTGGATTAACGTGTACTTAATAACGCAACTTATACGCGATACCTGAGCCAACCTTACAACCGGACCACGATATTACGCTTTAACCAAAATTACCTTTTTTTTTTACTAACCGTTAAAAGTGCGGGAGTAAAACTACATTACTAACACATTACTTACAAAAAAAAAACTGTAAGGGGATTTAACAAAGAAGCGGTTAAATTACCGCCACAGCGCTACAAAGGGTGCTTAAGCCAACAAGCACGAGCCTTCCCGCGGGGACCCATAAGCCTCAAGCTACAAAGGTTCGTTACATAACATAAGCTTTAAGCTGCAAAGATTCGTTACGTAACAAAAGCCAAAAAGGCTATAAGTTAAAGCCAATTTGTAAAAAGCAATTTAGGTTAATTTTTCCCCAAATTAAAGTTATTATTTTTACTTTATAGTAATATAAAACTTTAAACCCAATTAAATTTTTTGCTTTATCGTAATTACTTCGTACGGCTTTCGGCTTAACCCCGTAATAAAAACGCGGAATAGCAAAACCTTCGAAAAGAAGGAGTTTTTACCCGGCTTTACATTAAATAATTATCGGCTGGAAGCACGGTTTTTACTTTTATTTAATTTACCCGATCCATAAAGCTCCTTATGGGTTATATAGCTCGAAAGGGGTAAATAAATATATATATATGTTGGTAAGAGTTTAGTACTCCTGTTAAACGGCTCGGAAATCTCTAAAGGTGATGGACAAAGATCTTGGTAATCTGGGGAAAGGTCCTATATTGTGCATGAAGAGGAAGGAATCTATCTGCCAGAAGAAGGGCACAGGACTGCCCGTTATATGCACAGGGACGATTACCCAAAGGGTGGTTCCCTGTTCTGCCTAAGGCAGATAGTGTTGGCCCGTGCGGGATCCAGAGGATCCCGGAGCCTCCTGTAACAACCTTCCTTTTCCGGATCGCACGCGTACAGAAATACTGTTCCAACAATATATATATTTTTTTTAAAAAGGTTCGCGCTATTGCCGATTTTTTTCGGTAAGTATTATAAAACGCTTTTTAAAGTTAAGGACCCTTTTTACATTAAATTAAATAACCGTTGCAAATGCTTAGTAATTTAGCTTGCTTTTATCGGTTATTTGCGCGGTTCCAGGATGCTAACAGTAAAATGCGGTAATAAAAAGCTTACAACGCTTTAACGTTAAAGTTTGTACGTTCCGTTGCGTTAACAAAAGTGGGTTTAACAAATCCGGTGTACATACCGGTGCAAGGTTTAGTACAGTCCCACAAAAGTAATCTGGATAAAAACGCAGTTTCTTACAAAAACTTACAGCGTTCGAATGCAAATGAAATAGCTAAATAAAATTGCAAAAATAAACGAAAAAATAAATTTTAATAATAAATTACAAAGCCTTTAACATATACTTTTTTGGATTTTTAACGTGCCGTATGCTTTTGGAAAATACGTTAAAATTGGAACCTTAAAATGCACCCGCTATAAATGGATTTACCACCCCTTAAAAAGCG